TGCATTCACCCTCCTGCCAGCAGCGGATAACCTTATGGACATCTCCTTCCTTAATGCTGCTTATCACAACAGTCCCACAAAGGCCATAACGACATTTTAACAGCACTCCATCTCCTCAAGATAGGCTTTGCCTTTCCTGTTTTGTATCACATACTGCACCTGATCCTGTAACCCAGATCTAAAAGCTCCTTATGGGTCAATTTCAGATGTTCTTAGCCTCCACCTGACATAGTAGGTTTTTATAGTGTTCAGATGGATACCTTTGTAGCCTGTGGGTTTCTCTGCCCTCTCTCCATCTGGTTCTGGCAAGTTTCCTGAAGCCGATGAAACAAATTCATCAGTTTCACATGGCCTTGGACTTTCCTATCAGGACACCAGAGGTTTGGCTTTGCTCTGATCAGCAGGGCTCAGGTGATTGGATAGGGAACCACCTCTACATCTTTCTGATTGCCTTATCCACCCAGGAGGCTTTAACGGAGACATGCCAAACCCTTAACATTCACAGCACGAGTGAGGTGCAAGCTTCCACCTTAAGCTGTTAGATGCATGTTGTTTCCATATACCCCTGCTGGTTTGCTGCTCTATTTAAAGCCTCACCCTATTTTCTTCCCACCTGTTTTGTTTCACGACGGGATGCGAAAGCAGCGAGCAATACGTGGCAGGAGCTCAAAGGGCTGGATAGTTAGTGCCTAGATAATAGGAATCCCCCCATTGCTGCCAACACGTCAGTGGTTGATCCATCACCCTTTGTTCTTCGGTAAGGAGTCCTCTCACTATTATAATCACAAGCCCTCTGCCTGATGCCATTGTTTGGGTCGAGAGAGCTCCGGCCCTTCTGTTATGAAAAGCATTTTCTGAAGAATCGGTTGGGAAAGGGGAGATTGAAAACAGCGCACAGATTCAGTGGCACAGGGAATTTTATAAACATTGGGTGAAGGGCCAAGAGATCTGGGAAAAGATCCCCACCGAGGGCCACACAGTGAAAGCAGAGGAGTGGGGAGGGGGAAGCGGAAGAGGGGGCTAGTATAAGCTTGTGGCCCGAGGCCCCTTCTGAATGATGCTGTGCTTGGCTCAGCAGCTGGGCAGCCGGTTCAGTCACACTGCTTAAGGGACATGGTTCAGAGCAGACATGCTGCTATGAAAAAAGTAAATATCGATTGACATGAATGTTGAGAAATAGGGGTAAAGAGAAGAGGCACAAGTGTAGGGGAAGACCAGAGAAAACTTGATCAAAATAAATGTATACTGTATTTCTTACTAGTTTTTCCCCAGGTCTTCCAAGGATCTGTTTGAATCTAAATTCCCAGTACAAACTGTTCTGATTTCAGGAATAGGCTTCGGCATAGCTGGCAACCCTAGGAGAGGTATTTCAGGCACATCTAAGGCATTAGAGGAGTTTCTCTTTGCTGTCAGAACATCCTTTGTTTTCTCTCTACAGCTTCTTCCACCAACATGTGGCTTCAAAGAATAGAAGTTTCTAAATGGATTGAAGGTAGGGACATTTTCCATGCGCTATTACTTAAAAAATCGTCACAAAAATATGAAGCACCAATCACAACACCTGATTTACTTGCAGAATTGAAGCTACCATACACAAGTGTTAGAAATCGTGGTAATAGGTTGCTAGAAACACACAGACAGTGTTTGTACTGCAGATGTGAAGTATCATTGACCAAGCCCTTGCTAAACCATTTAATTTGTTATCTTGGTGAGCAATCCCATCCATGTCTGAGCTACTCTAATGCAAAACCAAAACAAAAGAAGCACAAGACTGGCCATTAACAGAATCGTAATCTAGGCTGTAAGGGTGATATTTGACAATTCAACTTAAATAAGGGTATTATTTGGAAAACTCCAATGCTAATCATTCCAGTAAGGTTAGACACAACTTCAGCCTTTACCTTGCTCAGCACAAGGGTCTTTTTGTAAATAGGAAACAGCCAAACAAGGGTGTGTGTTTATTGGGGGTGGGGGGTTGTGAGCAGAAACGCAACACAAATGGAATCATGACATTTTTCTCTCTCTCGGCAACTCTGCAGACCTCAGATCTTCAGCCTCACGATGTAGATTATCTTATTCCCCCAAAAGGTGACCAGTCGATTTAAACATGCACATCTCTGGAGCTTCCAGGCCTTTTCAATTATTATTATTATTATTATTTTAATTCTGTGGACTAGAAAGTGGTCCACATTGCTAAAAACGCTACATCAGTGTTCGGAGTGGCCCGAGTGCGTGCCAGACTCGTGGGGGGCTTACAGAATTGCACAGAAGAACTTCTTCTCTCTAAAGGGGTTTTCTGAAGCTGGAACCGGGGTCAGTAGAGGGTCTTCCTTGGCGTGGGCTTCGCAGTACGCCATCAAGTCCGCTGCTGCTTTGGACACCTGAAAATAAATCCACACATTGGATAAGTGTTGAGTGAGCAATGCTGTCTGAAATGACTGGCCAAGCGCTTCTCCACGTCAGAGCGCCGGGACTGCATGGGCAGCACTGAATGAAAGCATCTAATTTTGATGAATGGAGGATGAACAAGTTGCCTCAAGTTCCCATGGGCTCCTCCACTGTACTCGCTACCCATTGAGGGGCTTTTTAACTAGACAACCCACTCATCACAGCACTGTCCTTATTCACGGCTTTGCAATCATAGCCTCCCTTAAGGCAGTGGTTCTCAACTCGTTTCAGTCCACGGACCACCAGGCCAATAAAAAATGTTCCGGGACCACCTCCTTTTTGAGACATGATAAAAGAGAGCAGACAATGAACATTTTGGTTTGAATGGCTTCCTTCTCCCCCGAGCATGGCATCTACATATGGAAATTGAACCAAATTATTGCCTTTGACACCATGGATGACGCGCCACGCGCTTGTGAACACGGCGTAAAGCAGTCTAACGGTGGCACCTTGGACAATGTTCCTGTGGACCACCGAAAAAGTCGCCATGGACCACCAGTTGAGAACCACAGCATTAACAGGAAACGTAACACGAGTTGAACTGTCACCCTCCCTGGATTGCCAACGCTGCAGTGATGGGAACCTTCCATTGTTTTCCTTCCTAGGATGGAGTATTTGCATTTACCCTCTGTACCCAGTGATTAGAAGGGTGCGACTCTATTCCAAGTGCAAAGCAGACTATTACTTGGAGGGCAAAGAAGCGGGATTTTTACAGCAAGGGCTCTCTATTTTCTGAATGCAGACCTCACATGCGCTATGTCTAGACTGGCATGATTTTCCACAAATGCTTTTAACAGAAAAGTTTTTCTGTTAAAGCATTTGCGGAAAAGAGCGTCTAGATTGGCACGGACGCTTTTGCGCAAAAGCACATTTTGCGGAAAAACGTCCGTGCCAATCTAGATGCGGTTTTGCACAAGAAAGCCCCGATTCACCATCCCCGCCCAGATGAAGGCACGCAATGACTGTGTTAAACGTCTGCGGTAGGGTGACAAGTCCGTGGTCCGCTCTGCATGTGGAAAGTCCTCTCCTGGACTCAGAAATGGGCTGGACAGCCTCTCAGCTCCGTACCGACACAGGTCTGGTGTCCCAAACTCTCATCCACTCCCTGGAGACTTCCCAAGTTAGCCTAAACTTAAGAACAAAGCACTGTCCATCCTTGCAGGCGGGTTGTTTCGATGGTTATTTAATCCTGCAAGACCACCTGTCTCCTAGCTCTTAATCCCACCCATGAGCTTCCCTCCACCTGATCTGACTGCCAGCTGAGTAGGCAGACTCCTAGGACCTGAAACATCTACTGCAGGGCCACTATCCCTTCACCTCCACCGCTACTGGGAGCAGACAGGTTTTTGCACGTATAATCAATTTTGAAGCCTGGTTTGTGTGTTTCAGGAGCCAGATGATGTCGATAAGGGTACGTCTACACAGCAGCGTTATTTCTGAATAACTGACATTATTCCAAAATAACTCAGTGCGCGTCTACATGACAAGCTTTTATTTCGAAATAATGTCGAGCTGGAGGACTTCTTACTCCGATTCCTGGTAACCCTCATTTCATGAGGAACACAAGAACGGCCAGACTGGGTCAGACCAAAGGTCCATCCAGCCCAGTGTCCTGTCTGCCCACAGTGGCCAATGCCAGGTGCCCCAGAGGAAGTGAACAGAACAGGGAATCCTCACGTGATCCCTCTCCTGTCATCCATTTCCAGACAGAGGCTAAGGACACTGTTCCTACCCATCCTGGCTAATCGATTCATGGAGGTTAGGTCCATCAATGGCTATCTAGCTCTTTCTTGAACCCTGTTAAAGTCCTAGCCTTTGCAATATCCTCTGGCAAGGAGTTCCACAGGTTGACTGTGTGCTGCGTGAAGAAAAGCTTCCTTTTGTTTCAAACCTCAGTAAGTGAAGTTGAAGGAAGACCGTTCTTCCTTCAACTGCCTACTGTGCAGACAGCACCACAAGCTGAATTAAGCTACACAATTGAGGTAGCTGAAGTTGCATAGCTTAATTCAACTTTAGCCCTGCTGTGTAGACGTACCCAAAGAGGACACGGGGGGCCAGCTGGGAGGCTGGACACAGTGAAGAAGATCACCCTATCAAATGGTAACTTGCAGGGGTCAGTTTTATTCTTCAGCTTTAGAGGGGATGTACATTTTTGCTGTAGCATCTTTGATGTGCCAGGTGTCCAAATCAGAAACTACTTCCACACAATAAAAAGGCATTTACACATCAGCTATATCAAATGTGGTGTTGATTTCTTTTGCTGCTAAGAGAGTTTTCATTTGCATGTCTTCAAGGCAATCCAGCCTTCTAGTTCCCCCCCACACCTCCAACCAAACAGCTTCTCCCTTCAGGGCATTTAACTGCTATCACAAATCTCTTAGCGCAGACTTGGAGAAAACCAATGCCGTCTGCAAGTCTATTTTTATCGCCACTTGATTACAGGCAGGCTTTGATGTTCCATCAACACCTTTTCCCCCCAGTTTGATCTTACCAAAAATTCACACTCCCGCTAGACAGCAAAGAGCCCGCAATAATAGATGCTACACTATTTATTTACAATTGTAAAGAGGGATTTGCCACATCATCTTTGTGCCATGTTGAATCCTTCCAGTGGAGGGTTGTGGTTGCTACGGTAACAAGCATTAGCAAAGTCACCGGCTGTACATGGTTATCTATTCAGAATATGACAGGGGCTCGGTGGAAGCTCTTGAGCGAGGAGGAGGCATTACCAAATGTGAAGTTCAGCTACTGATATTTCACGCTTCCGAACCAGCGACATTTGCCTTTGGCAAAACGGAATTGATGCAAGATGCTGCTCCCAAAAGGTTCAGGTTTTCTGTGCCAACTCGAACACAGTTTAAGCATACGAGATACCTTCCAGCAAATCTGCACATATTTGTGGGACAAAATTCTTAACATACACCTGAGTGGAGCATGAAAAAGCATGCATTAGAATGGGACGCAAGCAGCAAAAAAGGCCATAGCTGCAAAGTTTCCCTTTTATCCAGGTGGCTATTAATTTGACATGCTCCATTATGGGTCTGTACCCGCACTTTCAAACACAGGCACCCACTCTGAAATGTTGGCCTTGAAAAACTGAATCGGTCTATGATCACAACTGTATTGATTGTTTATGGTAGGATTCATCGGCTGTAGTCTACACTGCAGCACTATTTTGGGATACCGGAGGTACCGCTAAATAGCTATTCCGCATCTTTTGAGCGCACCTGTTATTTTGAAATATAATGAGCTTGCTATTCTGACATCCCTGTAAACCTCATTCCACGAGGAGTAATGAATTATTGTGTGTCATGGTCCAAATCTCTCAGTCCAGGTTCAGACTCCAGAGGAAAAAAAAAAAAATCATACAAAAACCATAATAATCACAGTAAGTAAATAAAAAGATGTGGTGGTCCATTCAAAAGCATCTGGCAGTCTGGATTTGGTCCATGGTCCACCTGTTGATTACCCATACTTCAGACCTCAAGTCTGTGGCTTGTGATTTGTAAAAAATTAGACTACGTGGCCCCAATAGACCTATCTGGCCATAATTTAAAAAAAAAAAGGGATGACTGAGTCTTAGTGGCAGAAGACTCATCGTGGACCCACAAAGAGCATGCGAGTTACCCAGTTGGTTTCAACCTTGCTTTACCTTTATTCGGTCGATGTTGGCCTCCATTTTCAGCTGTTCCACCAGCTTCCTGGCTTGAGCTATGCTGGCGGTGTTGTTGCTGGCCATCTGAGTGCCGGATGCGCTTTTCAGAGATGCTGTGGAAACAAAGAGAACTAAGGCAATCCATCAGGGAGTTAAAGCACTGGAATTCCTGCATGCACTGCAGAATCTAGTCACAAGTGTCCTGATTAACTAAGATGTGGCGGTGCGCGGTAAGTTTAAAGTGGTTCTAATCCATTTGTATACAGGTAACTAGCCTCTACACATGTAAAAGGGTGACTGTAGCAACACTGCTAGAGGTAAGACAATATTCCTCTTGTTTGCTGTGTCTACAGTGGTTAGGAGCCGTGTTCCCTGTAGGCTGAAGCTGCCCAGATGATTAGCAGAGCATCCACAGCCAGTAGGGTGTGTATTTCTACTGGTGGTGCACATCCACACAGGCCTCCATGCGCACAAGAACATTTATTCCGCACATGGATGGAAAAAAGTTAGAGGGACCATTGGTTAGGAGTCTAACGTTATAAGGGTTCTAGAGCCAGAAGTATCATTCCCGCGTTGGGCACTGTTCTCTCATCCCACCGCTAGGACACCTGCGACGTTAAATCTTGATTTGCCAGCAGGCCTTGAGCGAGAGGAGAACCAGACACAGGGTTTAGACCCCTGCTCGGAGCGTGAATCGGAAGGGAAGGAGAGCTGGGGTTGGAGGCAGGTGGGAATGCACTTGAGTTTTTTAGCTCTGATGGTGCTGTGTCTTCAGGATAAAGGGCACCCTGAAGGAAGGGTGGTGGGGTGGGTCCCGGAGTGGCTTAGCAGATAGGGGGAGTGCAGGGTGGTGGGTTCTAGTCCCCCAACCCCTGGGAGCAGATGGACAGAATTGGAGCAGGCTCCAGCAGGGGGAAAGGCAGGATAAAGGGCACCCTTAAGGTAGGGTGACGGGGTGGAGCCATCAATCACCTGTCCCCCCCCAGTAAGATTAGCAGAGGGGGGCCTGGCACCGGCTGAAGGGGTCTGGCCTCGTGCACTCACCAGGAGCAGTGGGGGAGAAGCAGAGTGAGGCTGCCCTGGGGAAAGGGGGCAGAACGGTGCCACTCACCAGGAGGGGGCAGGGGAGGGAATCGAGTGGATGGGGGGCCCCTTGCTTCACTCCCCTGCACGGCTCACTGACAGTGAGTGCAAGGGGAGGGGCTGGACACCTGCTGCCAGCGCCGCTAGAGGGGGGGTTGTCCTGACCCTTCCCTGGGTAGGAGAGGGTGTCAAGGCCAGTGACCCCTTGGGTTCCCTTCACCAGTCGCCTCTGTTTATAGCTGGCCTAAAGCAGCAAGCTTTCTAGCCAGCACCTCATTTAATTAGGGGTTTTCCACTTCCAGGTGAGAAGGCGAAAGCATTATCCTCACTAACAGTGACGAGCATTTCTCCGTTACCTTCCCAGTCAAAAGAACAATGCTCCAATTACGCGAGCAAGCGTGTCCTCCTGTCCCCGCACAGCCCAGAGCCTACTCTACACGCCCCTTACAGCTTGAACGTCACAGGAGAGCACACGGATGTTTTGTACGCGTTCTCTACTCGACAGCTTGAGGTGTCTTTCAGACTGCCTGTAGCCGAACAGCAGTCGCTGTAGGTTCGTTATACCGTACTGAAGCACCGCGCTTTGCGATCAAGTCATTCGGAAATATCCATCGGTGCCGCTAAGCGGCTGACTATCACCCCGATGTCTAGAGACAGACACAATGCATTGGTCTACCCCTGCGCCGTTCTCACAGCAAGCAAGCAGTTCACTGCAAAACAGGATATTGGCACTTCCTCTTTCTTCAGGGTTTCCTACCCAAGGATAACTGCGATCATTCATTATGGTGCCGAGTCGCCACTGTCCCCATGAAGCATGCTTTTCCTAAGCTGGCTGTGTCCACGGTGGTCAGAAATACACTGTCTGCCTCTTTCCAGCAAGGGTCCCATTTGAGGGGGAGTAGTACTTTTCAGGGGCAAACATGATCAATAGGAGAGGAGACACGGCTGAAGCACATTACGCTATTCCAGGCGGAGCTAGGAGAACGGACTTTTCAGATTTCTGGCAGATCCAAGCCCTTCTTCCCCCCAAACCATTTAGCATCCAAGTGAAACGGAAATTTTGGGAGACCTGACCGATTTAAGTGAAGGGCTCGATTCACACCAGCTGTGAAGGCTGCTCTGATCAAGTCTTTTGCCCAGTGGGGAGCGCACTGACCTTGGATGCGAGAAAGCCAGGTTCAAATCCCCACCTAGCCCCAAACACCAGGCTATTGACAGCCCATCTCACAGGCTGAAGATACTCCACTTTGTGTAAACAAACTGTCACTGGATCAGGACTGGAACCTAGATTTGAACCCAAGTCTCCACCCACTAGACCAGTGGTTCCCAAACTTTTCGGCATCTTGCCTCCTTTTTGATTTCTGAGAAACCCTCATGCCTCCTCTCCCCCCCCCACCCCCCCAATAGCAGCAAAAAACTTGTTGAGCAAAGAAAAAAAAAAAGGAACTAACCGGGACCGAAAAACAAAAATAGCAGCAACACTTTGGAGGAGTTGGGGGGGAGAAAGGTGGGGGCAGGGGATTGATGGGGGGGGGCTGGGTCCTCCCTGGAATTTCTTCACGCCCCTCCCCAGGAGAGCATGCCCCCCAGTTTGGGAACCCATGCTCTAGATGGAAAGCTCTCATGAATTTCTGGGCTCTCTCTAGAACAAGAGTGGGGAACCTCCAACCTCCGACTTAATTTGATCTGGGAGGGGGCGTGGAGACTTGCCGTGGACTCGAAGCCCTGAGCATTTGCGCCCCCTGCAGGATGAAGCTAGGTTGGATAAATGATCAGGGTGGGAACAGGGAAGCTCCGAACCCATGTATGGTGCTCTGCCCCTGCAGCTCCCATTGTCTGGGAACAGGGTGGCATGCAGAGGGCGGTGCGGTGCATGCAGGACATGCGCAGTTCCACTGTGGCAGCTGCCAGGAGTGGGGCAGGGTCAGGG